ATGAATTAAGTTAAGCTATTAATACACCATATTTATTTTATCATAATAATATGAAATTACCTTTAAAGAACTTTTGACCCTCATGTTCTCCTTTGATGATAGTACAAAGTTTATCTTTACTATCTATACTGAAACCAAGACAAAGAAATTGTTCTTCTGGATCATAAACTTTATTATTATTAGATACCGGGCCATTGAATGGCCTTCCACTGAAAGGATTTATAAAATCGGCCCAATATCCTGATAAAATTAGTCTCGTACATAGCTCTTGTGCTGCATATACAAACTAAAACACATTTAGTAATATATGAAATATAAATTCAATATAATAGTAGTTGCAGATATTGCTAATTTACCATCATTGCTATCTTTTCCGAATCTAACTCACACATATCGTCATGTGGTATATTTTTATGCAAAGTAGCTACTGTAAAGGCAGTGCACTTGTTTATCGCACTATGCGGAAACATTTCTAAAAGACTCTTTTGCAGCAGGACAGGACATTGTGAGGTAGTAATGTTCAATTTTTCAGCACTCTGAAATATAGGCATTTATTACAACACATTTCAATTTGGATTTTGAAAAGTGTAACAATAGTTATATCTTGTATTTAAATAATGAGTTTAGTTTTTCTTGTCTTGACACTGCTTCGATTTAAAAAAGGTGTTCAATTTCTTAAAAAATTATACAAATCACTTGATATACAGGCCTAAAATTATCAAGCATTCCTTATAGTATTTGCATTTTGAATTGATTTGTTAAATTTAAAAATTGTGAACTTAATTTAATTTAATATTGCAGAAACCTGCTAATCTAACAATTCCAAAACTGCAACAATGTAAATGCTCTAGGAAATGCATGCATGATGTTTTTCAATCGATACAATTAATAACAAGTTATAATCAATAGCATACTAAAGTCAGGAAACAAAATTACTTGAACATATGCTATAAAAGTTAAGTCAAAAAATAATATATTTCTCAAGAACCAAAACTCGAATGGGCTAATATGGGCCTAACCAATGGATGATGCAATTCATAAACTGATAGACTTTACTTGATAAAATTTAGCAATGCCATGAATCAATATTAAAAAATATACTTTATTGACGTTATGTTACTTACACTTTGATCTACATTCACTAATTTTCTAAGAGCGCCTTCAGGAGCCCAAGTTGTCGAGACTCCTTGACAAGCAGCTCCAATGGACCCTGGCAGTAAAAATCTGTACCCTCTAGGGGCAAGCAGTTCCCAATTAGGATCTTCATGTAATTCTGTATTTGACCCATCTAAATGATACAATAAAGTTAAGATTAATAAGCACTATATTCCAAGGTCCATTAAAAATTATTACCATTCACAAGATTTGTCGATTTGACAGTTTTATAACTTGCACTGGTGGTTTTTGAATCACTACGCCGAGAATATGCTCTTTTTAGGCCATTATTATAATTTTGTCGGCAACATTGCTTTAAAAACATACAAAATTCAGGTCTCGACAGTAACATATTTATTTTTGACTTTGACACTGGCTCTCAAAGTTTTGTTGTTGATTTAATTCAATTTATTAACGTCATTAGTGTTGGCCAGCAATGACAAAATATTTCAAAAAGAAAAAAAAAATAATTCCAGAAGTTATTAAAATGAAAAAAACCTAATTTATGTTTTAGACTATCAAGATGAAATATGCATGCTGAGATTGCATTAAACGTCAAATTTGAATGTATCAAACGAATTGCAATTTCCCTTCTACTTAGTACTTAGTAACTTAGGTTAGATTTAAAATTTTGTGTTCATAAATTACTTTTGAAATTTAATTCATTGTTAAGTTCAGGCAATTTTAAATAGATTAATTCAAAAATAAGGGTATATTAACAAATACTTTAATTTATGAGTAAAAGCGATACGTGAACGTAGTTATAGACAGAGCGCTCGTGACCAATTTACTCAAACTTCAAGTGTTTTTATTGTTATCATAGACCTTATATTACATGGATTACTAGGCTTGCACATTTTTAAACTTCC